GGGTCCCAATGCCAAAGGTTCCCCTTTTTTTTTTTTGCCCATGCCCATGGACATTTAGTAAACTTGTCCATATTCCTTACTCAGTATGAATGAAAATGCATTCTGCATATGTACACAAGGAATAAAACAGATTAATCTCTTTTAATAGGGTGATATAATTGTTTACAGAATATTCCCTTACATCTTTGACTAGCTTCTCTTACACCTTGTGGATGCATGTACTCAGGTTGGAAATCTTTGCTCTATATGATAATATCTACCAGAATTTGCATTCCCCTGATAGAACCTTTTTTCTGTTATGGACCTCTTCTCAGATTAATGTTTTTAAATTAATAAAACAAAATATAGTCTTACAAAAAATCAATTATGTTGAAATAGTACTCCAAAAAAAAACCTTTTTTTAAATTAGCTCATGGATCCAGGTTAAGAATTCCTGTCTTTGAGAGTCCAGGGTCATCCCCATGCCGCAGTGAAGCTTAAGGGTGGGACTGTAGTGGAGATCTTAATAAATTCCAAGGGAGAAACAGTATCTCCCACCTTTTTTTTTTTTCACTATTTGCCCTTTTCTGATTTCTGGTAATAAGTGAAAAGGGTGAGAGAATTGCTATGTTGTGTTCTACAAGATGGTGCTGTGTCGTGTAGTGTGATGGGAGTAAAGGAGTACCTTTATTTGGTAACTAATATATGTTAGTGCTTTGACTGATGGACATTAATTAGCGAACTTTTTCAGTCTAGGGATTTATTCATTGTTACTCTACAAGTACCAGACTATTTTTCCCTCTGGCACTTTCAGCTTTGAGTTCACTTAGAAATGTTTCTGTTTGAAGAAAATTCCCAAAGCAGTCTACTATACAAATTTGGGTTTGGCATGCCTTATCGCAATAATCCTTTGACTTCCCTGTAGTACATTGACCTATTCTCACATATATATAAATTTTATTCTTGCGATGATTAATTCTAAATGAAAAGCACACCACCACCACCACTACCACCCTCCAAAAAAAACTTTAGGTTGAACCTATACTCCTGTATCTTGGAAGTTTCCATAGGCTGTGCACTAAGTGTGCTGATTATATAGTGTACCATATTCTCCAGATGTTTGGTGGTTATTTTCATTTGTTTTTTTTTAATAGTAATATCCTTCATTGTTCCAATGTAGAAATAATGTAGACTTAGGAATTTATAGACATTTGGGTTTGTTTATTTTTTTAATCTTTAGTTGTCATGCTATAAATATGGTTAGGACATAACATATCCTTGTTTTCCAGAGACATTTAATGAAGGTTGGGAATCTTAATTCCATGACACCTCCCTTAGCATCTACTAGTGAGATTGATAAACTTTATATAGAATATGAGAGTTTGAAAGTCAGACATCTAACTTTACAATACAGACTGTATTGGCTACAAGTTGCCGTAGTTTGGTAAAAATGAAAATCTAGAATCAGACGCCCAAGTGGAACCCTCAAAACTTAGTCATTTCATATTTTAAATTAGCAGAAAAATAAATTGTTAACACATTATTCAGCATACAAATTTTTCATATCATGTACTTGGATCTGCGATCTCACTGGTATTGCTCCTTCATTTGGTGTAAAATATGATCCACTTATGCTTTTTCACCCTATCCTATGAAATTCCAGCCCATAATGTATCTATCTAATATGCTAGACACTTTTCTTTAGTTTTTTTTAATAGCTTATGGTTTCCAGTATAGCAAAGTATCCATCTATTTCATATATTTATAGAAAAAATGAGAGTTGGCTGCTATTCAAAGATTAAACGATCTTCTCATTTGAATGGTCAGGTGATCATGCAGAGCTTTTTCTAAATTAATTCGTAGAAATGACAAAGCCCCAAATGTCATTATTGCCTACTAATTTTGTGTGTGTGTGTGTGTGTGTGTGTGTGCTCCATTCACTTTGAACATTTCTGTCAGCTTTATGTTCTTTCAAGAGTTCCTGCTTCAAGGAGTATGGACAGGAACTTAACCTGTGGTTTCTTTGATTACAAACAACTCTTTGGTGAGGAAACCCCCTCTACCAGTGCTAGTCAGGCACCACATCTGAAACATCTAATCTTAGAGATTTTGCCTAGAGCACTGAGAGGTTAAATGACTTGCCCCAACTCATACTGCCAATGTTCAAAGGTGAACTTGAGCCCAGCTCCTTATCCATTAGCCATGCTTCCTCCTAGGAAGTTATGTTGAAATAAAACTTTAACAAATAGCATAAAAAATATAAGGGCCAGTAAGCAAGATGAGTTTTAAGTACATCGTAGCACAGAGGAAAACAGTGGCTCTCAAGTTAGAGGACCTAGCTTTAGAGCCACCTACTTAATACCAGTTTGACCCTGGGCAAAGGTATCTGACCTCCCTGGTATTCATTTTCTTCATCTGTAAAATGAGTGGATTGGACTAGATCTCATCCTAAAATGCTTTATTTTAGAAACACAAACAAAAATCTTGATGTTGCTAAAACTCAGCACTACATAATAATTCAATATGTATGAATAGTAATGTTTATATCTTAAGTAAATAATGTATATGAAAAATAAAAATTTTTCATTAGCTGCTGAGAAATAGTATCTTCTCTTCCCTCTGGATCAGGGGTTCTTGACCTTTTTGTTTGTGTGTGTATGCCATGGACCCCTTCTTAGAATAATGTTTTTAAATGCATAAAGTAAAACATGTAGGATTACCAAGGAAACCAAACATTAGTAAAAATAAAGATGTATATTTTTTCCCTATCTAAGTTTGCAGACTCCCTAAAATCTATCCACAGGCATGGACCTCAGCTTAAGAACCCCTGCCTAAAAGTGAGAAAGGCTGGGGGCTCCTTTGACACATACTTTAATTTAATCCTAAGAAAGAAGGCAGCATGAAATAGTAGAAACAGCACCAGACCACAGGTCAAAAGAGCTTGGTCCAAATTCCATCACATATTAACTGTGTGACCCTGGGCAAGTCACTTAAACTTGCTGAGCCTCAGGTTCTTCATCTGAGAGTTGAATGACTCAACTAAGGTCACCTTAGTGACCTTAAGTCACTAACTCAACTAAGACACCTAGGCCCTGTGCCCCCTCAGTCCAGTGGCTGTTCTACAACACTCTACCATGCTCTCTCTGTCCTTCTTTCATGGAACAGGTGTGGTATGTTTATTCTCATGGAGGTAGCCAAAAAGAGCTAAACCCACTTGGTTCTCCACCCTTTTTAAAACAGCCATCCAGGGTTCTAATAAGAAAATCCTGGATTATGGTTCCAAGGGAAAGCCATAATCGGCCCCTGCAACCATTTTGAAAAGTGTAGTCTATGCCAATACACATTGCCACATAACAAACAATAACTTAAAATGGCTATCTTGTCTTCATTTATCTTCACTCTGAAATTTAATCTGATTCTACATTTTATGGATTAATATCTGTCCTATACCCTCTGCCTGAAAAAAAAAAAATGTTCTTTTCCACTTTCATAATCAGAAAACAAACCCAGAAGTATCTCCTCACTGATGCTTCCCTTAATAACTCATTCTGTCCTGCTAGAGAGATACTTAGAGTCAGGGCTGCTCCTGTGACCTAGGGCAGCCACCTGACTGATGACGTCTCTTATCTCAGTTTTCTCATCTGTAAAATAGGGATAACAAAAGCACCTACCTCACAGGGTTGTTGTGAGGATCAAAAGAGATGCTACATATACATACATGCCTAACAAACTTTAAAGAGCCATGTAAATATCAGCTGTTATTATTTCAGATGTGAAAATGGCTGTGACACCAAATGCAAATTTTTGTGTGTGTATAATTACTAATTAAAATGCTCTCGTTGCTTTACTGGCCTGAAATTACATTTGGCTGCTTATGTTTTCTTTTAATATCTTGTCTTGAATGCTTCTATTTGCTTGTCTTGCATTTTTCTTTATTTTTTACTTCAATTAACTTGAAGTTTCTTTTCTTGAACTTTGGGTGACAGATGTTGGAACTGGGCTAATACTTAGTGTCTTTCCTCTTCATGACTAATAATTTTCCCTGAAGCAACTAGTTCTTTCTCCATTCTTTTTTTTTCCTCCCAAGTTAGAAAATAAAATAGTGGGTCACCAGCTTGGCTTCTTATCATTCATTCAGCTACTTTAAGGTACCTGGCTTTTATTCAGGTATGTACACATTTTACTCTCTAGTGCTGTCAGAAACAACTTCTGGGGTTCACAGATATTGGATTCTGCCTGTAGCACTCTCCCTGCTGGTTTAATTCAGACTTGTCCACTTGCTTATAAATATTCATCCTCTTGTTTAGGAAGAGGCCCAAAGCTTCTTCATAAGAAGAATGGTGTCATATTTGTGACATTCAGAGATGTGTTTTATCATCATGTAGATAACAGGGTAGAGATGAGACCTGGACCTGTGATTTCTTTGGTATTAGAAACTCCCAGTTGAGGAAACTCTCCCTACCCATGCAGGTCAGCACTTTCTCTGCAACTGCTAGTCTTAAAGAGTTGTCTAGAGAACTGAGAAAGTAAGTGACTTGCCCAGGGTCTCACAGCCAGCATGTGTTAGAGGAGTTGACTAGCTTCAAGTCCACCCCTCAATGTGACACTCCTGTCCATAACATGATAAAGGTTAAAATTGAGTTCAAGTAAGTCTTCAGAATATTTCATTAAAATGGTTATAAATTTTTTGTGATGCTAGACTGCAAGGGAATAAATACTTCTTCATAAGATAACCTTTGTACTTAAAGTATATGCAATCACAGTACACTGTTGTGTACTGAGTACATTGACTTCTCACAGTGTCCCAAACAATATTAGATCCTTCTCACCTTCCACTGGTATCTCCTGAAAAAATCCATGTTGTCATTAAACCTGTTCATTTGGCCTGTGTAGTACTGCTGTTGACACAAGATTTCAGACCAAACTTAAGGGAGGGAGAAAGGGAAAATGTTGAGTGGATAGGATAATGTCTACGTGGAACCCTTGATCATGAAAATCTGGTTTTACTTCCTTTCTTTTAGGTCCTCGAGGCAACCCGGGTGAATCGCCGGAAGAGTGCACTAGCCTTGCGTTGGGAAGCAGGAATATATGCCAATAGGGAGGAGGAGGAGGATGAATAAACATTTCTCAACCAAGTTCATTTGGTGCATGGAACAACAAGAAACCCCCAAAAAATGAAGAAAAAGGAGAAAAGAAAGTAACCTTTTTAATGAAATATTTATTAAGGAGTAAACAAGCTCAATGATTTAGACCAGAAACACTGCAGTAGATATCTTTGGGAGGAAACTGAAAACAAAATGGAAACTCATCTACTGAACTCTCAGCATACCCCAAGGGGAAAAAAGAGCAAGAGAGGATTCCTGTCACTTACTGGGTCTATCCAAAAGGAGGATATCACCACCATCAATAAGAACGGCAACAGCTGTGGTGCCTACAGCAAGTAACCATCGAAGGTCAAAGCAATTAAAAATGGTGGAAACCTGAGCAAAATGTGCTTCCTTCTAATAGGACTCCCTGCCTAGCTTTGTGCTAGGGAAGAGCAAGCAGTCCACAGTGGGCTCTATCAAAAGAGTACATCTTGTGCAGGAGCAAATTAGCAAGGCACATGGTATTCCTTTGGATCCTCCCACAGTTTCATTGTCCCCATTCCTCATGCTGTGCTAGGAACATCATGATCACCCCAGTTATTCAATAGCCATAAATAGGATGGTATTTTTTTTTTAAGAATTTTTCAAAGGAGAGGTGAAGTTAACTCTCTTTCTCTTAATTTAACTCTTTTTAAAATCAGGAACTATCACTGCAAAATGTACAATCCATAAATTTTACAATTAGTATATTTAATAAAGTATTTCTTCCTGTTACAAACACAATCTCTTTTAGATTAGGAGGTTGAAGAATGGCAGGGAGGGAGCCAACGCAAATGACTTATTTTAGCTTTAGGATCCTATCTGCTTGTAATATTGACTGGTCTCCAGTTCCTGAGAACATATTTACATGATTATGTTTCTTAATATAAAAATCTGTATTTAGTGGACAACAAGTATTTTTATGATGGGAAGGGGGCCGTGCTTGTGTATAGTCTTTACACATTGAAACAAACAATTCAGAAAGTTTAGGGGTGGGAGAATAAATATAGTTTTTAGAGTGGCAATAATTGAAAACAAAGAAGGGCACATTTTGACTTAGATGTATTAAACAAGAAGAGAATAGCAGTGTTTATAACTATATTTTGTAATGATAAAGCAGGCCTTGAAGAGAGTGTGAGAAATGGAAATCTTTGGATATCCAGAAAGTGAAAAATTTGAGAGGTCTTGGAAGTAGAGAAAAGTAGAAGGAAGAAAGGAGAAAGGAGAGGGAAAGAGATTATTTTTGCTGTTCAACCAATGTTTTTCAGAATGGTATATGGAAACAAATAAAAATAGGACATTGAAGGATTGGAGTCAGCCACAAATACTAAAAAGTGTGTGTGTGTGTGTGCGTGCATGTATAAAAGTATGTGCACTTGTGTGAAGGTGTGCATGTTGAAATTCCAGAATGATGATGGGTTAGCATTGTAAAATTATTTTCTCCAAAGCTGTTTGCTAGCTACCAGAGTGATTGAGAATTTCTTTTTTATGCAAAGGGATATAAAGGCACTGAGTTGAGGCAGTATTTGTAATATTAAATTGACCCAACATGGTATTTGCATGAGGCCCAGTTGCAATGTTTTGAAGCAGTTTTGTAAATTGATATTTAGAAAAAGGATTGTGGTATTTATTCTTGTGCATTGTATTCATAGGTAGACTAGAGAATGCTGGTTTTACACTTTATTTCATTTAAAGCAACATAATGATGATATTCTACAGTTGGGTGCCATAATATCTGGATGAGAATTTTTTTAATCTGACAATGAGGAAACAATAACCTGCTTCATTTTCTTCATAACTAGTATTTTTATTTTTTGAAGGCAACAATTAAATTTATTCTCACTAAAATTCACTTCTACTTTGTTCTTGGTATGTCACGTGATATGATGTGTGTTGTTCTAACACAGACCTGCACAACTTGTAAACTTCTTTGGGCGGCAGATAGGTTAAACTACAGACACAATGAGGATGGTTGGTTGTTGTGGATTATGTGACAAACACGAGTGCACAGTGGCAACCCTACATTTTTTTGGTGCTGCCTAAAATCCTTTGGCGGACCACAGTCCTTTGGCAGGCCATATGTTGTGCAGGCCTGCTCTAACAGGAAGCAATTTCCACTTAAAGTATATGGTAAATTCCACAATGCATCATTCTTGGGTTTTGGGGTTTTTTTTTTAGTAAATAATATAAGTGTTGGCTTGGGGGGGGCAGGGAATGTAAGCAAAAATGGTATTATTAAAGGAGATAGAAACAGTGGACTGCCAGAGAGTGTCTGTCTGAAGCCAGTTTTTAGAAATGTGAACCAAAAATTGCACCTGCTGTTAACCTGATGTATCTGGACCTGTGGATTTTGTTTTGTTTTGTTTTGTTTTCTATAAGTAATAAAGTGAAATCTCTTTGAATCCTACATTGTCCATAGAAATCAACAAACAATTCCAAAGTGTAGCAGTTAGGCATATATTAGGTATTTTTAAGAATGGCTTGAGCTTGACTTGAATTTTTGCATTTTTTTTTTTTTTTTTTAACAAAGAACTTATGCACACATTAAGACTACTTGTGAGAAAATGTACAGGTAGAAGGGTAGCTTCCAAACAAATTTAATGCACCTGGGTTTGCATTAACAGGCTGAAACCCTTTAGCAGAAGACATTTCTTGTTCTGAGGGCCACAAAGAATTTTACAGCTAACAGGAAACTTGGAGGTCATGTAGGGTAATGCTTTCCTTTGAGGGATTAGAAAACTGAGGCTAACATGGCTTGCCCAGAGTCACACCAAATGGTTCATGATTTGAATTTCAAGTTCCTGATTCCTCATCCTGCATATTCTGCTCTAAGATACTACTTTTCTGGCTATTTGTTCTCATTCCTCATCCAAAAATATCCTCTCTGGGAGGACTTCAAATTAAAGCATCTGGATTTTTCAGAATGCTTATTCATTTTGCAAGCAAGCATTCTTGAGCACCTGTTGTGTGCACAGCTCCAGACTAGGCTCCATCAGTAAGAATCCCAGTGGGAATTTGGTCACTGGGGAAGATGAAGATATTTTTTTCTTTTTTAAGTGAAAGGAGTAAGTCCTGCTTATTTTCCCTTCCCCACCTCAAACTCTGTCTTCTCCCTTAATACCCACAGAAAAATACTCAGATAGATAGAATATTTGTATCATTGATGAAATCAAGGCTGTCTTTCCCTCTCCCTCCAAGCACATAGTAGGAAGGGCACTGGCAGGAATCTGAGGACCTGAGTTTAAAGCTTACCTTTGGTGTTTATGACTTGTGTGACCCTAAACAAGTCACTTAAATACCCAGTCCTTCAATGGCCCATTAGTTCAGTTGCTGATCGTGACAGGTTGACTCTTGCCTCCTCACCTTCGTTTTTTTCATCCAGAAAATATGGAAGCAGGCTTCTGTTCACAGCAGGAGGAATAGGCTATGTGCCCCTTGGATCAAGCTATGCAGTTTATTCAACTTGTCAGTATCACTTGCATGTTATCACATAGGTATCCATATATATGTAGTATATATATAGTATGTATGTATGTATGTATATACATACATGTATGTATCCATATGAATACACACACATATATATATGAAATTAAAAGATGGAATACTATTACAAAGTTAATGCTATCTCCATGGAAAAATAAAACCTTTCTCCAGCTAAAGGACTGATGTAATGAAATTGCATTGGGGGGAAAAATAGCTTTAGCTTTAGAGTCAGTGGGCATATCCAGTTTTGGTTATAGCACTAATTTCCTGAACTGTTATTCAATGAGCTGCCAAACTTTGATTTTTGTCTTGCTCTTGATTCATATTACATTAAAAAGAAAAGAAAAAAAAACTTTTAAAAATGACCTGTCCGTCATACTGTATACCTGGATTTCTGTGTATGTTAACCTCTTAAATGTAATTATTCTGCTTCTGTTTTATAGTGACTGTGAGACTTACAATGCAAGTATATAATTATTTTCTCATTAAAACCAAAGCCTGTGTTGTGTTTCTATAAATGATTGCTGTTTAAATCTTAGTCACTTGGCCTGGAGAAGATGGATCCTGTGGGAGAAACAAAACCTAAATGAAGGCAATTTAGGAGCTACAGGTTTTGAAGATGAAATACCTTTTGACATGAAATACATGTCACCCATAAAATGTCCAGTTCAGGAGCTCCGTACATACTAAGTATGAGCTTGTCAGGAATAGAGAGCAATGATTCCCAGAGTAAATAATTTTCCATGTCCTCTACTAGGTTTGGGGAAAGCCTGGGAATCTCATCGGAGTACAGCCATCTACCTCTTTTGTTTGGGTGTTGCCTTTTGTTTTTATCCCATAATAATTGCCTAATTCTTAGGATCCTTACCTCTCACCCTCCCTCCTCCTCCTCAGCACTGAAGTCTCCCTTGAAACAAAGAAACAGCCAAGATAAACAACCAATGTAGAGAAAATGCTGGAGAGACTATTCATCATTCTGCAAGGGTGGGGAGGGAGGTGTTTCATCACTTGTTATCCACAGGCATCTTCCTTAGAAGATATCCCAGATGGGGGATGCCCACCTTGTTTGCCTGAATTAAAATCAATCAGCATCTATTAAGGGTCTACTGGCACTTGAAGAAAGGAAGACAAAAATAAAATCAATTCAAAGATGGCAGTTTGAGAATACAAAATATAAAATGTGACAGCGTAATTAGTTCATTGGAGTTGTTTAATAATTGCTAAATGATACGAGAACCGTAAGTTTCCTGAATTAAATCAGTCACTCAGCATTTATTATGTACTACAAACCTAGCTAGATTTTATACTGAAGACTGTAGTGAAGCTCATTGTCTTTATGGAGGATTTGTGAAGTCATGCTTTTATTTCTAAATAGCTCGAGCACCCATTAATAAAACTTAACTGAAATTGACCATCAAGGATGTGATTTACTTTATGCTGTTTTTATTGTTTCAAAATATCATGAAATTTGGTATTTCTGTTGGGATTCCTTGCTAAGAGATTCGTTTGAATTCTTATGAAATGGTCCTTTAAAATTGTACTGGTATCCCCAGTGCCAAACACGCAGTAGGAAGCACTTAAATTATTACTGATTGATTAAAAAGCTCAAAAGAATTTGACTGCTTCTTTGCCACTATAGGCTTCCTATATCTGATGTAAGCCTTCTGAGGTCCAATTCCAGTGTTCTGACTGATGAACTGGAAGTTCCTTGATTTGGGAACAAGAGGCATAATAACCATTTTTTTTTTATGTGAAGGTTTAAGTGAGAAAATAAACTAATTAAGAATTAGTTAACTTATAAAGCCAGTTTGAAAAAATAAAACTAATTGCAATAACTTACAATTTTTTGGCATTTTATATCACTTTCCATATGTGATCATAGTTCATCCTCCTAACACTGAGGCAATCAATGTAATTATACTCATTTTACAGATGAAGGAGAATGAGACTTGGAAACATCAAATGGTTTGTCCTAGGTCCCACATCTAGTAAGCGGAAGCACCCAGATGGAAATAAAGGTCCTCTTACTGCAAATCCTAGCACATTTTTCCATTACAACAGCTGCCTCACAAAAGGTAGAAGCCCAACTCTTTCCTGGAATTTAAGTTAACCTCAATTACTAATTCTGATAGGAGCAGTGGGGAGAAGAGAGACCCAAGAAATAAAATATTTAATAAAGTGACTATGAATTAGTCATTTACAGTGTCTTGTATGTAGAATTTGAATTAAGTAGTTTGCATGGAATTTAGTATTCTAATTTTTAAAGTCAATATGATATTAAAATGGAGAAATAATATGGCCCACTTTAGGGACTGCATGGTGTAACAAATAGAAAGCCAGTCTTAGAGCCAGGGGTTCAAGGCTCCCTTCTGACACATATGGGCTGTGTGACTGGGCAAATCACTTAACTTCTTAGTGTTCTAGGCAACTCAAGAAGGTATGGATATACTTTGATAACATGGAGGTTTTCACCAATGAGTTTCTTAAACAAAGTGCAAAACCTATACCTGTACCTAGGTTCCTATACCTAGATTCACCCATGCCCCAGATTCATGGACACACACATATACATGATATAATCCAAGCATACAAGACATTATTCTTGTGTATCTTCCAATACCTAGCATAGGCTATCACTCATATTAATTACTTAATGGTTGTTGATTGATTTATTAGGAAAATAAAAGGGTTGAACAATGTACATTCCTACAGACTCAAACACTGCTAGGATTAATGGTTTTGTTTTGCAAATGAATCCACCCCAGCACAGGGCTTTTTTGATTGATTTAAGTTGTGTCAGACTTTGTGACCCCATTTGGGGTTTTCTTGGCCATGATACTGGAGTATTTTGCTATTTCCTCCAGATCATTTTACATATGAAGAAACTGAGGCAAACAGGGTTACGTGACTTGCCCAGGGTCACACAACTAGTAAATGTCTGAGGACATATTTGAACTCAGATCTTCCTGACTCCAGGCCTGGCACTCTATCTACTGTGCCACCTAGCTGCAGCACACTAACATTTATATTTAAGTGTTTTGTTGTTATTAGCTATTTTGTAAAGTCCCAGGACATGATGAACTGATGGTAAGTCAGGCAATGACCTGTCTGAAATGATAATGTAAATCAATGGGAAGAATGTTCATTTTAGTAGTCCTTTGACAAAAGTGTAATTTGCACATTTTAAACACACTACATTTCCTAATGTGAAGCACCATAATATGGGAGCTATGAAATAATCTTCCCTATTGGGCAGGCCTGACCGGAATCCTGTCTGCATAAACACTTCCACACCTTCCTCCCACAAAAAGAAAAAAAAAGTTGTGACTTGAGAAAGAATTCAGGAAAAAGTTCAAAAGTGTCCAAAAATGCCCCCCAGGTAGTAAGGGGTAAAGTCCTTAGAGCTTTCTCTAAGAAACTGACTAGAACATGGGTTCTTAACTTGGGGTCAAGAACTTGTTTTTAAAATACATATTTTGAGGGGACAGGGAGCCAAGATGGCAAAGGTAGGGGCTTACCTGAGCTCTCCCCACAAACCCTCCAAATACCTTTTAAAAATGATTCTAAGCAAATTCTAGAGCAGCAGAAGCCACAAAAAGATGGAACAGAAGAAATTTCCAGCACAAGACAACTTGGAAGGTAGCAGGAAAGGTCTCTTGCACTAGGTGAGAGAGGAGCATGGTTTAGCACAGGCCATGCCAGCACAGAACAGGCCTTGGAAGTGACTGATTCAGTAGCAGTAGGGGCAATGGCAGCGGCAGTGGCAGCAGCTGCTTCCAGAGCTCTCAGCCCACAGACAGTAAGAGGGCCAAACAACTGGTTAGAAGGAAATTACAGGGGTCTTTGTGCTAGGACTAAGGCAGGACTCTGTTGCTTTGCCCATACTCAGATCCGGGTTCTGGGTGGCAGTCTCAGGGTGAGGAAAAACACTCGAACAGCAGAACTTGCAGCCACAGTGGAGGGGGGCCCTCCTCACAGTTCCAGGACAGAAAAGAGTGCTTGTGGTCACTCACAACCCAGAGCACAGGCCAGGAAAGGAGTAAACACTTTTCCTTTGATCATGCCACCTTGGAAGAACTGAAAATCTACAGGTCCCTAGAAGTACCTCTGAAAACAGCTACACAAACCCCCTAAAGCTTGGGACAGTACACCCTCCACACTGGAAGCAGAGCCCTACCTTATCAAAGAGTTTAAAAGTCAAGTAATTGGCTGGGAACATGAGCAAACAGAAAAAAATCTTAGACTATAGAATCTTACTATGGCGACAAGGAAGATCAAAACACATACTCAGAAGAAGACAATAAAGTCAAAGCTCCTACATCCAAAGTCTCGAAGAAAAATATGAATTGGTCTCAGG